CTTGTTGTGCGAGGGCCTCGGCCACCCCACCGCCGTGGGCCTCGCTTGGGCTTGCAGGGAGGGCGACGGGGCGAGCGTCGCAGCACCTCACCAGGCCGCCAGGAGCAACAACGTGTGCGAGGGCATCGGCCACCCCACCGCTGCGGGCCTCATTAGCAGCAGGCCCTTCCCTTGGGCATACGGGGTGCGCGTAGTTGCGCTGTCGTCGATCACGTTCGGGCCATGCTCTCCTACCGGCGTTAAATCGATAAAGTCAGCCTCCAAAATCGAAGCCAGAGCTGGCCTGACCTCTGAGAGGGTAGCTGCAGGGCCCACCTGACCGCATCTGCTCCCCTGCGCGGTTTGCTTGCCATTGAAAGGGACTGGCGGCGCGCGCGATGAGGGGTCCACCTGACAACCTCGTTGCTGGTCTTTCTGATCGGCCTGGGAGATTATGAGCTGGGCGACTGTCTTGATCACGTTGCCGCGCACTTGCATGATGTGCTGGGCCCACCTGGCCGCGACAGTCCACGCGCCCACGTCGGGCCCGTAGCGTACTCGTCGCGCAGGAGGGCGCCGCTGGAGTTGGCGCGTGCGCTGCTGGACTGGGCCTTCTCTGTCCACGTAGCGCTGCTTGCGAGAGCCGACGATGTCGCGTCTTCTTGCGAGCTCCTCCTGAACGCCTCGGAGGACCAAATCTCATGCTGTCGCGAGCTGGGGAAGAGACTGCGCCGGATCGATTTGGGCCGTATACCTGCTCCCAGCCGCGCCAGGGGTTGCGCGCACTCCCCACAGGCAGCTCCCGAGGAAAGGGCCTCGGTTCGCCGAGCTCGCGGGCGATCGGCGGCTCCGCGTGCTTGGCAATGGCCAGCGTGACGGGCCGATGCGGCCAGGTGATGTCGGCGACGGAGACGCCAACCTCGAACGCGACGCCGCGCAGCATGGGCCCATGTACCAGGAAATAGTCCAGCGTCGTGGCAGGCACGGCCAGCATGCAGGTCGGCTCCAGCGGGGCAACGCAACCTGGCGTTAGCCAAGAGGAGCCAGTCATGCTCCAGCAGCTCCTGCGGCGACATGTCGAAGTCGCCACCGACGACCCACGCCAGCCCAGGGCTTGCGACCGCGCGCTTCACATACGCGCCAGGTTGCGGGGCGACTTGCCCTCACCCGCGTGGAGGTAGAGAGCCACCGCCACGAAGCCGCCAGGAAGGGCAGCATGGACATGGGCCGCCACGGCCCTGCCTGGCACAATGATGCCGTCGTCCAACAGCGGCGCCTGGGCGACGGCGATGTCGGTCTTGGCCAGGACCGCGACGCCCCCCTCAGTGCCCCCAGCCGCGGTGGGCAGCGCGGGGCACCAGACGCCACGCCAGCCAGCGTCTCGGGCGTCACCCTGCACCTCACGGAGCTTGTCAGAGCACGCGTGGTGCTCCTGCGTGATGACCACGTCACTGCTGCAGTCGGCGAGGTACTTGGTCAATGTTCCAAAACACTTGGCATTAACTGTGGTAAACTGCAACTTGGTTCTCGTCATGATCGGCGACATGGAGAACTCAGGCCGCGCGCGGCTTCCTGACCACCTTCCACTTGGGTTGGCCAGGCGGAGGCGCTTGAGAGCTGCTCGGAGCTCATCTTCGGTGGCTTCAGCAGCATTAGGAAGCTCCGCACCAGAGTCGCGCAGGTAATCGCGACGCTCTTCTGCAGTGGCCTGGTCGACCGACTCCCCCTCCTGGACCTCATCGGCGTCGCCTGCCATGACAGCAACCTGCTGCTTTCTGGCTGCCTGGGCAGCTGCTCCAGCTGCCTGCTTCTTGTTGGCCTCTCGCCGGGCCTGGGCTCGCTGCTCCTGGGTCTGGCGGTGCTGGCGAATCTTGCCCACCACTGCAGCCGCCTCCTGCTGAAGGTCAGGAGCAGCGCCAGCCGCCAAAAGCACCTGCTCCAGCTTGGGCAGCGCCCAGCTGCTCTGGTCGTTGCCAGCGTCGACGCCGGGTGGCCCCGTGGGCGGCTGCGGCAGAACGCCATAGAGATAGGCCCGCTGGCTCTCGAGCTCGACCAGCTGCTTGCGGGGCTCCGCGAGCACGGCATCCTGCGCGGCGAGCTCCGCCTGCAGGGTCACCAGCTGCGCCTGGTTCGCCTGCTTCGCCTCGCGGGCGTTCTGCTGCTTGGTGATATGCTGCTCGACCTTGGTGATCTTGCAACCGAGAGTTTTGAGCTGCTGCGACGGCAGCTTCTCTTGAAAAAGCTGTGCCCGCAACTTGACCTGCTCAGCTTTGCATTGCGCCACCAGCTGGGCAGCCTCTGGAGCGTCGGCGCCAGCCAGCTGCTTGAGAAAGCCACCCAGCTCGCCCAGCCGCTTCTTGACAGCAGACTCGACACCGGCGTCGCCCTCGCCGCTCTCGACGCTGACGGGGGGCGCGCTCGCCTCAGGAGCCTTCGCCTTCGCCAGCTTGAGCTCCGACGTGAGAGCGCGCACCTGATTCTGCATCTCCAGCAGCTGCGCCGAGATGGAGCCTGCACCTTTGCCTCCACCACCGCCTTGGGCCCAAGGAGCTGGCTTGGATGGAGTGGTAGACTTGACAGGGCCCCCGTGCACGACGCTTTTGCCAGACCACAACTGTTGCAGCATAGATTGTCGGCGAAGTTGACGTAGGGCTTGCGATCGCGTCCCAGGCAGGATTCGCAAAGCCATTTGTCGCGACGTGCTGCGCGAATGCCTGGTTTCCCTCCAGCGGCAGTTGGCGCCATTGTTCCTCAACCACAGACTCTGAAGCTGTGCCCGCGAGAAGCAGGATGACGGCCAGGCTGGCCACAAGAGAGAGAATATTGCTCGAAGTTTGTTGCCTCAAAGCGCGAAGCCCCTCGCTCTCAGAGACGCCCGAGAACAGGCTCGCGGTCGTCGGGCGGTTCGTAGCCTTGAGCCAAAACGGCGCGGACGGCTACGGCCGCGGAGCCGCCGCGCTCCGCGGAAGAGGACGAGGGGGACTGCGGCAGCTACTCCTACGAGACGGACGAGGAGGCCGACTCAGCGGGCGCGCAGGCAGCCACGGCGCCGGCTGCCCCTCCAGCGACGCTGAGCACAGCAGCGCCTCGGGCGACCGAGCCGGGCGCAGCAGCAGCAGCAGCGGCAGCGGCGGCAGCTGCCGAGCCGGGCGGCGGCGGCGACGCGCGCCGCGCGACACCCGCCACCGCGGACCCGCTGGCGCCGGCCCCGGAGGCCCCGGGGCGACGGGCGCGGCCGGCCCAGCCCGGCCCGCGGGCGACGGCGCCGAGCCCGCCCGGCCCTGCAGCGCCGGCAGCGGCTTGCCCGGCGGACCCAGCGGCGGCGGAGCAGGGCGGGACGCCAAGCGCGGAGCTGTGACCCTGGCGCTTCAGCGGGCGGGGCTCCAGGGGCCTGCGGGCTTCGTGGTAACGAGCCTCACGGAGGGCCAGCTCCTCATCCGCTGGCGCGGGCCGGGGGGGGCCAAGGCCCAGGGCCTGTGAGCCCCTGCCGTGGCGACGCCGCCGCGACCACTGCTGACCGGCCAGGCCCTCCGGCGACGGTGGGCCTGGATGCGGGCGACTTCCCCGTCGAGGAGGAGTGCGACGCGCTGGACGAGCCCGCCCTGCTGCTCGAGCGGGCAGCCACGCCGCCGCCGGCGACCCGGCGGACGGCGCTGCACACGCCGGACCGCGCCTGGGCCGACGCCGTCGACGGAGTCGATGGCGGCCTCGCGGTAGGCGCGGCGCCGCGCGCGCGCGGCGCCGCTGCCGCAGGCCGCGCGACCGCGCGAGGCAGGGGCGCCAGAGACCGGCGGCGGGAGCTCGGCGCTGCGCCGCCGCCGGCGCGGGCGCGGCCGCTGCGGCGGCCGGGGTGGCGACCTGCCAGCCCCGGCGGCGTCCGGCGGCGAGGCGGCGGGCGGGGCGGCCCGCGGGGCCTGGCGCCGGCGGTGGCCCGGCTGCCGGAGGCGCGGCGGCCCGCGGGGCCACCGCGGCGGGCGCGCCCGGCAGCGACGGTACTCCGGCTGCCTGCGGGGGCACCCCGGACGCCACCGCCGCGCGCCTCTGGGCAGAGGCTGGCTTGGCCAACCTCACGCGCGCGGACCAGGCGGCCGGACTGCGTGCGCGCGCGGACGCGTGGCGCAAGGTCCCGGGAGCGGTGCTCCTGCTCGACGCGGCCGCGGAAGACCCGGCCGCCCTTGGACCGGCGGCGCTGCTCGCCCTCGACGAGGCGGCACGCGCCTTCTAGCTGGCGGCGGCCGCGCGGCGACGGTGCTCCGGCCGCGCGGGGGGTGCGCGCGCCCCGCAAGCCGGGGCGCGCTGAGAGGCGGGCTTGGCCGCGCCGAGGCTCCTTGCTGCTGCTGCTGCTGCTGCTGCTGCTGCTGCTGCTGCTGCTGCTGCTGCTGCTTTCTCCTCTCCCTTTCCCTCCCCCTTCTTCCCCCCTTTCCTGACTCTTGCCACGGGGCTCCCCTTTTGCTTGTAAAAAGAGTGTGTGTGTGTGTGTGTGTGTGTGTGTGTGTGTGTGTGTGTGAGTGTGTGTGTGTGTGTGTGTGTGTGTGTGTGTGTGTGTGTGTGTGTGTGTGTGTGTGTGCGTGCGTGCGTGCGTGCGTGCGTGCGTGCGTGCGTGCGTGCGTGCGTGCGTGTGTGTGTGTGTGTGTGTGTGTGTGTGTGTGTCGTGCGTGTGCGTGTGTGTGTGTGTGTGTCTGTGTGTGTGTGTCTGTGTGTGTGTGAGAGAGAGCGTGGGGGGGGGGAGGAGGGGCGGGGGGAGGAGGGGGAGGGGGGGGGGGCTTGTACGTTCAGTGCATTAATTCCGTTGGAATTCTCCCCCCCCCCCTCTCCAGAGCGAAGCTTGAACGAGCTGAAGCCCACGCACGCTTTCACAAACTCACACGCCGGATCGGCGGATTTCTTTGTGTGTGTCCCTGGGCCCGTGAAACATCAACGGCTCGGGGGCAAGCTGCTCCTCCTCCTGCTTCTCCCCTGTCCCCCTGCTGCTGTTCCTGGCCCCCCGCCGGCTGCACTGAATTCCCGCGCGCCCCAGGAAGTGGAAAGACTGAAGAAGGAGAAAGAGGCGGAAGATGCAAAGTGGCGCCGCGCCGTATCCCTGTGTATCCAGAGGAGCGGGGTGAGGATGCCTGTCTTCGTTTTGCCAACGCGTGCGGTAAAGCTTCGGTACGGGAGCATGACAGGCGTTGGTCAAACTCAGACCTCCATGGTTTCTGGCATGCCACTTGACATGTGGTCCCCGTGCCACGCTTCGCTTCTGCTTCGAATGTGTGCGTCCGTGGCACAGCTCGGAACGATTCTGTCGTGCGGGGCGCGCGCTTAGCGATCCCGAGCGCAAACGTCTGCTTGTGATACAGGGGCCCTTGCACAAGAAAAGAGGTAGGTGTCAGCCCAGTATCCGGACGCAGCCGTTGTTGTGTTGTATTGTTTTTCTTGCTCCTCGTCCTCCCTGCACGATGTTTCTTCCTCGCTCCAACCTGCAACCTGGTTTCTCTCCATGCCCCCTCCTCCTGCACCCTCCCAGCTCATCTCCTTGATGCACTCCGTTGCCATTTTGGTTCAGAACCACACTGCATTGCAGGCGCAGCGTGTTTTTCCTCTGCCCGCGTACCGTGTGGTGTTCGCTCATGGCGGTTGGAAGTGCGGCCACCATCGCCACGCTTGGTGCCATTGTCCGCGTCGACCTCGGATTCCTTTGCGGCAGCCACCTCTGCCTTGATCGAGCTGCAGCAGCAGGAGGTGCTTGGGCGCTAACTCGACTCGCGTGTCGTGCACGTGGAAGCTGCCGTAACCTTGCAGCATACCTTATAGTGCCAGTATGATTTCCCGCATCGGCACAAACTCGGCGACGCGGTCGCCGACGCGCAGGGCAGCGGGTTTTTCGGCAGTGGCGCTGTCAGGGCCATGCGCCACATCAAGCAGCGCGGCAACTTTAGCCGCCATTTTTATTGGAACCAGCTAAAAAAGTGGCGGCCCATAGTTGTGGTTTCGTCAGGGGATGTGGGTGTTCCCTAAGACGCTGCACGTGTTCATGATTGTCCGCCTCAGCACGGTGGATTGCAAGCTTGTGTTCAGCCAGAGCGTCGTGGAGTATTGCGAGAACCTCTTCATGCGGGTCGCTTGATACACTGGCCAGTTCCTGGTCTACTAGATGTTGTGGTTCTTGGTGTTTTCCCAGCATCAAATTCGCACTGCAGCGCCGCAGCACGTCCTGACGAGTTCCGCGAGCCCTTTCCTGGTGCTCGCATTATCGACTGTCCTATTCTTGCTATATCAGATGCTTGATTGAGTCACGCATGCTCCATTTCAGAACACGTGAAACATGGTGCCTCAAGTTCTGAAGGTGTTTGCTTGGCCAGCGGAGCCGATAGCGAAAACTGCACGGCGCATGTCGACTTGCCCGGTGGCTTCTAAGTGAAGGCGGCCATGCAAAGGCTTGCGAAGAGAGCGGCACGTTGTAGCAGTGCAGTTGCGTGGCAGCAGCCACTGCCGGGGGGCAGCAAGTCGTGGTTTTCGGAGTCCTTCCGCGTCCCTGGGCAGCGGCTTTCACTTTCTGCCGACAGGTTGTTGTTCCTCCAGGGGATCACGTTCGCTATCATTGTGCGACCTCTGCTTTTGGAATTGTCGGTGAGGTGCCCTATGAAGACCTCGAGGAGGCTGATGTGGCCGCCGTCTGTTGCACGTGGCGTGCCGCTGGACTCGGCTCGCCATGCTGCGCGTGGCCTGCCTCGGCCCCTTCGGGGCCATGGCTTGCCGTCGGTCCTGCTTCTGGGGCCCTGGGCTCTTGTCGGACCGTCCCCGCGGGGGTGGGGTGTGCTCCGTCCGCGACCCCTTGGGGTGGAGAAAATGGCAGACTCCTATCGGTGCCCTGTCTTGGGCCCTCGTCGCCGCGTTCTGGACCCAGAGCTGCTGTCGTGGTTGCGTCGCTTCGCGTCCGACTGACGGAGCACCTGTATAAGGTGGGTTGGCGCTGTACCCGTGGAAGGCGCCCTTGCCTATGCAGATTCGTCCTGCTCCGTTGCTGCGGTGCAGTTTGTAGCTTGAGAGTTGGCTTCTCAGTCCACCTTCCCACGGTCTTCCTCGTATCATTCGGTCTGCTTGTGCCTCGCCTGCAGACTTGAGGCTCACTCGCTCATATCCTCCAGTCCACATGCGGGGTTATCACGAACCCTCCTCCATTCTCTAGGCTCTCATCTTGTCTCCTCCCCTGCATCCCCTGACCCCGCCTGATGCTCTTCAGCCTACTTCAGCAATGCCACGCTGCCCGCCGTCGCCCCCGCCTCCTCCCCATCAGGTAATTACCTCGGGGGATCCGCCGAGAACCTTGGCAATCGATTGGGAATCTCTCAAGTCACACGAGCTCCCCTCGCCCCCCTGTTTCCACCTTCCTCATGTCGCTCCTCGTGCCCCTCCTCCCTCCGTCTCGTCGTCGTCCCCCGCTTCATCGCCCCCCTCCCCCCATCGTTCGGCGGGGAAGAATAAGAAACAGCAGGGAGGAGGAGGAGGAGGAGGAGGAGGAGGAGGAGGAGGAAGAGGAGGAGGAGGAGAAGGAGGAGGAAAAGGAGGAGGAGGAGAAGGAGAAGAATAAGGAACAGGGAGAGGGAAGAGGGAGGGGAAGCAATGAGGAACAGGAGGAAGAGGGGGCATTAGTGATGAAGAAGGGTGCCGTATCAAGCAGGGTGCCAGACAAAGAAGGATGATAATGCAAGAAGGAGGCTTGTTGAGGCAAATAAGAGGAGGATTAAGGGGATATAGTAGGAGGGATAAGAGGGCATGCGAGGAGGAGGAGGAGGAGGAGGAGGAGGAGGATAAGGAGCATGAGCAGGAGGAGGCGAAGAATGGAGCTGGAGGAGGAGGAGGAGGAGGAGGAGGAGGAGGAGGAGGAGGAGGAGGAGGAGGGGGAAGACTGAGAGGAGGAGGAGGAGGAGGAGGAGGAGGAATGCCAAGGGGGAGGCGGCAGGATGGGGCGGGGCGAGCCGCCGCCGCCCCGAGGCGTGCAGGGCGATGCCCCGCCCTCCCGCAGCCAAATCGGGGCGCAGGTGGGCCCAGAAGTGGGCGGAGGACAAGAAGTGGGACGACAAGAAGTGGGAGGACAAGAAGTGGGACGACAAGAAGGGGGGCGACAAGAAGTGGGAGGATAAGAAGGGAAACCAGAGCCGCGGCCGGTTGGCCACTGCTGGGGCGCGTCGGGGGGGGGGAGGGCAGGGGGACAAAAACCCAAGCAAGCCCCTCTGTGGGCGTACATAGGGCGGGAGGGGGGGGGACAAAAGCCCAAGACTACCGACGCCGTGGCCCTGCGCGACGTGGGCCCATTGGAGCTCCCGCCCCTGCCCTCGGGAGAAGCGCTTCGTCGCTCGCTTGTCAGTTGCACGCATCCCAGGGCCCAACCGCCCCCAGACGCCGAAGCTGTAAACACAAAACGCCAGCATTGACAACAGAGCACGGGGCCAGAGGTCGGGGTAGGTCTGGAGGTCGCTGCAGGTCTCTGTGGCTCTCCAGATCCCCGTACGTTTCCTACTGTTTTATCTTTTTGGGGGTTTCGCAATGTGTAGCGATAGCAAGTACATCAATACATGTAGGACTCGAGAGCAAGGGTAGAACTTTCATCCTCGTCCTGTATTCCTTGGTACCGCTCACACCAACGGATACTCTGGATGGGGGTCGGCCAATCGTTCCCTCGCACAGGATAGCAGCGTTTTAGAATATCTCGTGTGCGACAACTCGCGCGGCGGGGCTCTAGTTCTGCCCTGATGGCGACCACCACCCCGCCTCGTGCGGGTTTACCGCCTTCTGAGGCGGGTACTGGTGACTCCCTTGCCTCGTGGGCTTTAGCGCACAGCTTCGCGGATGCTATAGATTCATGGGCTTACGCCGCACCGCCGACCCCTTGGGATTTCTGGTAAGGCCTTGGGGGGGGTCCTTGCTGCACTAACAATATGTCTCTCGCTATCTTGCGCGTGGTCTTACTTGTGCACTGGCCCCCCATGTCGCCGCGCCAAACTGCCGCCGGTCGCTGCGGCCTCGCACCAGTTGCTGCCGCCGGTCGCTGCGGCCTCAGCAACTGGCGCACCAGCCGTCGCGCGAATCTTCATATGTTACGTGTATATGTATTCGGTGATCATACATATATGAATATATATATATATATATATATATATATACACACATACATCTATGTATATATACAGATGCACATGCAATCTTATATTGTATACACACGCGTACATAAGATGGGCAGGCATGCGTGCACAGAGGTGGCACTGCGCGGTGCCATTCGACAGCGTGTTTTGGAGCTCAAGAATTGGTTCGTGGTGTGTTCATTTGGCGCCAGGTAGACCCATTCCGTCTCAAGGGCGGAAGTGGTAAAGAAGGACGACATCCTCGGTGCGTACGGAGGCCGCCCGCGACAGCGGATGATGAGGGGCAGAGGCAGCAGTGACCCAGGACCCCGAGATGCCCCGAGGATCATGATGAGGTAAGGTGGAGGAAGGAAGACATTGTCCGTCACCTCGGGCAGCATGGTTCGGCAGCAGCGAGCAGCAACGCGTGCTGTGGCCAGTCATGAGCAGATTTCAATTAGTTGTTGCGTGTGCCGGGCATATGTAAATATGTACATCCAGATGATACAGGGGCGTCCCTCCGCAACGCAATAAGATCTTCAGAAGCACATATGCCTATACACACGTATGTGTACACATGTACATGCATATATGTGTGTATGTATATATATATATATATATGTAGATATGTATGCGTAACTATACACATGTATATACATACGTCGGGGCGCCCCCCCCTCATATGCTGTTTGTGGGTTTTCTGTTCGAAGATACTTCTGGCGTCCCAACGGGCCGCCAGAGATTCCTCTCCCTGGGCCCCTCAGCGGCCGTTGGGCGCTACGGTCGCCAGTGCCATCGGCGCCGATCGGTTCGAGGATGCGCCCCATTCGCAGCCGGGGTTACGTGCTGTCGCCCTTGCCCGGGGTTACGCGGCATCCCCTTACGAGCTGGGGTTGCGTGCTCCAGGCTATCCAAAGCGGGGCGTATCGAGAGAGAATACTGCATGTAAGGTGATGTTCACCAGGTTGTTGCCGGTTGCGGCGCCGGCGCCACAATTTGTGACCCTGGGCGAGAGTGCGCGTTGCTCGGGGGATTGTGCTCAGAAGCGTTTCGCAAAACAATTGGTTCGGAGGCGCGGAGGTTCGGTGCGAGGTGAATGGTTGTGTTGGGGTCCACGGCGGGACGGCGGCGCCGGCCGCCGCGCCTTTCTCCCCGGCAAAGCGAAGCGCAAGCGGACGGGACGACGGATCGTCGGTGGTGTTCGTTGTGGTTATGGCGTTGGTGAGTGGCGCAGTGACCCGTTTCGGCGCGTCGGGTTTCGTCGCGGTTACGTAATACGTCAGTGTTGTCGTAGAAAGGTGAAAGTTCGCAAATTGTGAAAGTGCCGTTTCAGCTCGGAGAATTTCGTTGTGGTTATGCTGCTTGTCAATGGCGCGGCGCCCCGTGTCGGCACGGGGAGTCTTGTCGATGTGACGTGGTCGGTCAGTGTCGTCAGAGAAGAGGGGGAAGCTGTCCCTTTTTGAATGCGCGGCGCGAAGCGGAGCGGGGAGCTGGACGCTATGCGCGGAAGAGCGGCGCGCGGAGGTGGCGCGAAATGGCACGGGGTGGGAGGCGTGGGGCACAGCGGCGGCGTTGGCCATGGCGGGCGTGGCGGGCGCGTGGTCGTGTTCATCCCTTGCTACGTGGCAGTCGTAGAAGGGGGAAGCGCTCGCAAATTTGTAAATTTGCTTTTTTGGGCATGCTACGTTTTGGAAAGCGGAACTGTTGGGGGAAGCGGCGCTCGTCGACATGGGGGTCGTAGCGGACGCGGCGGCGTTCCTATTCTTTCTTGCATGGAAGTCGTTGCAGGGGAAACTCTCGCAAATTTTCACATTCGCGTCGCTATCGTTTTCCAGGGGGGGCGGCGCGGGAACGGAGCGTTTGTTTTCTGATGTCTTACGCGTGTCCATGTTCTTAGGCCTGGCGCGGGCGGCCAATTCTATGGGCGCGCGCCGACTGGGCGTCTTGCGATCTGACGCGCGGGCGCGGACAGTCGCGCGCGCTGCTGTGCGTCCAGGTAGGCGGCCCCCAGGAGTGGGCGCGAAGCGCAAGGACAGCACAACGCTCCCTGCTGGCTGGTCCAATGGCCGAGATACACGCGCTGTTCCCTGGAAGAGAACTCTCGGTGAGCGGGTGCCGCGGGCAGAGGTCGCGCAGCCAGTTCATGTCGGGTTTGCTGATAGCGAGTCGGCAGTGGCACTGGGAAGCGACGCATCCAGCATTGGTCGCCATGGGAAAAATGTTTACAAGTCGCGCGTGCGAACCTGCGTGGGGGGCGGCGGCGCCGGCATGCATTGCGAAGGTTTAAAACAGAATGTAGAAACGACATGGCGTCAGGGGGTGGCAGTGGCGATTCGATGGAGAGGGGAAATCTCCTATCAGCGCAGACATGGCTGTCTGACGAGCGCGCGTTTGTGTGGGTGTATGAAGCGAAGGACGTGCAGCAATTAATGACAGCCGCGTTGCGGCATAGATGGAAGCTTGGCGACGTCCGCGGCGTGTGCGCAGGAGCAGTAATATGGATGTCTAGTAAGCGCGTTGTTCGCGTGGTCAGCGGGGGAGATGTGCTCGCGCGCGACGCTGTAGACGGAGAAGCAGAACATGCTCCGTGGCTTCATTCTCCGGTTGGGGGTAGCACATCGATGCCATCATCCAACATCGCTCAGGTAGTGCCGACCTGCGCGGACGGTGCAAGTGCAAATAGCGCTGTGGCAGTGGAAGAGCGGCACGATACGGGAGGGGGCGCAACCGTGCAGGACATTCTGGCGAAACGCCCGAACAAGAGCACATTGTTGGAGCTCGTGCGACCGGCTGTGTCAGAAGAGGATCTGGCGGTCGCGTTATATGGTGACTCCGCTCGCGTCGTGCTTGAGGACGGGGCCTGGGCGCGCGCTCGTCATGGGATTAAGGGCATGCCGAACATTGGAAATTCGTGTTTTGCAAACGCCGCAATGCAAGTGTTGCTGCGTCTGGGACCTATGCGACACGCAGTGTTGCATCATCGACGCGGATGCAGCGTCCGACGGCGTCATCAGTGCGGAGTTTGTGCTTTAGCACAGCAGGCGGATCTGCCGGGCGCATCCCTGGGTGACCTTCCTGTAGATAAAGGCGAACAAGTTCCAGGAGTGAGAGCGGTGCGCGATGGCTTGTTTCAGCGCGGTCGCGCGAATGATTTTAGGGGCACTCGCCAGTGCGCCGCAGGCGAGCTGCGGAGCGCATTAGTTGATGCTGTCTGTGCTGCGGAGTCGAGTGCGTTGACGGGCATGGGGATCCTTGCGCAGCACTACACAGTGGTAGACGAGTCTTTACTGGGAAGCACAATCCGTCAAAGGCGGTTTCGCGGGGGCCGCGGTTGGGTTTCGGATGTGTACAGACGAGAACGATCCATGATAATCCAAATGTGGGAATATGCGGATATGTTGGGTCCAGTTGGTCTTGATCATTTGGTGGCGTTGGAATTCACGCGAGCTCAGAACGGTTTGCCATGCCCACATCGACCCGCCTTGCAAGACGGAGAGGCGTGGCACGGGCGCCAGGGCCCGTCGCAAACCCACGACGCGCCATCGGAGACGCCCGCGAGGTTCCTTGTTGTGGTGCTGAGCAGAAGAATGGCGGACGGAATGACCAGAGCGAATGGCCGCGTAAGCGCGCCAAGGGCGTTCGAGTGGCCGGGGGCGTCGGGCTGGACATATCGCTTCCAGGGCGCGATTTGCCATCTGGAGCAGCCAGCTCATTACGTCGCCTACTTCGACTGCCCTGGCGTCGGTGTCGTGAGGTTCGACGACGACATAGTTGCGCGGATTGAGTTCCAAGATCTTGCAGAGAATCCGAAGAACCAGGGAGACATTGCCCTTGTGATATTTTCCAGGCACCGGACGGAAGCAGTCGTGCCGACAGATGCCGCCAATGAAACGGCGTCGTCCACTGAGGGGCCGCTGTCGTTGCGCGACAGACTCCCAATGTCGTCAGCAACAACCGACACGGCAAAAGCTACGCACGAGCTGGGTGTTGCTAACCGTGGGCATGACAAACCAGTAGACCACGACGGTGCTGCCAA